AATGTAACTGAATGAATTGTATGACATGAAATACGGAAGTTGCATGATACATAACCCCGCTAGGAATATGTATGATATGTAACGAAATGAGAATGAGAATGACATGTAAGCATGAAAACATGACACGGGGTTATGTTCATTAAATGATGACTGTAGGACTAGTGGGACCTCATGCATATTGTGTGATCATGCATTTGGGGGGATACCCCTATCCCATCACGAGGGTACGGACGCGTACATCCAAATGGCAGGACAACGATCGTTATGCCCTGCATAGCGCTGCCGTGACGGTTTTAGTTTTAACGGGTCCCGATGGGCCCCCAGAGCATGCCCACCAGCTAGGGACAGTGGCCCAGCGGTGTGCGAACTAGCTGGTGAGCCCATACTCGCACGTATGGGCTGCGTGTAGAGTATATGGTACACGTTCACGATTACCTGTTAGGATTACACCGTAGGGAAAACGAAACGAAACGAAACGAAACGATAGGTCCCATCATTTCATTGCATGTGTTTGTCGCATAACCCCGATAGCGGGTCACTTACTGAGTATTCTAGAAATACTCAAGCCTCGTGCTACTTTACTTTTGCAGATAAGGGCAAGGCACCCATGTGACAACGACGACGGCATCGTACCCCCCAGGATCGTGGCACATGCATAGGGTAGTTGGTTGTTCTTTTTCCATTTCGTAGTCTAGGCCGAATTTGGTTGCATCATTAATATAGGTTAGTATAGGATGAAATGTATTTGCATAATAAACCTTAGGGTAGAATAAAATATGCATTTTTGGTTTCTGTTTCTTTTCCTTTCTTTCAATTTTCTCTTTTTCCCTTGTAACCATTTTTCTCCGGGGTAATAAAAGGCGAGTGCGAGTCGCATTAATGAACAGGGCCCATTAAATGTATATTCGGCATTTCAAAGCATAGTAATGACCTTAGATTAGACCGATAAAATATTAGGGTCGTTACACAAACATTCATATTTAATGGTCATAATTAACCCAATTGTAACCTAAACTAAATAAAAAGTCTTAAAAAACATTAATGAAATAAAATAACTCTAAATTGCTCTAAATTTTAATCCACCCAAAATATATAACATGAAACTTCATTCTTCTTCAATGTGGCATAAATTGAAATATCTTTTTATAATTTCAACAATATTTTCTTCTCATCTTTATTGAAGCATATTGTATGGTTGATGTCTCGTTGTTCATATCACAACCCTAAGCACTAAGAAGTTTTAGAGGAAAGCAACAAGAAGTTGTAGAGGAACCCTCCACAGAGGTTTATGCGCATGGGCTACTCTAAGTATAAGTTATTGATTCCTTAAGTTTCAGAGGATAACCTAAATAAGGATATTTTACCACTTTGCCCTGCAGTTTTCTGTCGCCTTCGCGAGTATCTTGTTTACGGTCGAGTAGGAGTAGTTGGACGAAAAAATAGGTTGACAGGTTCTTCTAATGAGGGGCATGTGTCAAAGATCGTTGTTAGTGACAATGGAGAGAGATCTTTTAACTTGAGCGCTCATCATCTAATCATTCCATCACTAAATCCCGGCGATGCACTCCTGGCCTTAACTAGCCTACCTCCGGCGCTGGTACTTTGAAGAAATTAGAGTGCTCAAAACAAGCCTAGCTCTGTATACGTTAGCATGAGATAACATCATAGGATTTCAATCCTATTTTGTTGGCCTTCGAGATCAGAGTAATGATTAACAGGGATAGTCGGGGGCATTTGTATTTCATAGTCAGTAAAGATGTTGTGAAAAAAAAAAAAAAAAAAAACAAACAAACAAACATCTTGAACATGTCACCTTTGAAATTTGATGAAAAATTTGAAGATGACGTAGCCTTGATATTGGACGATCGAGAACAATTTGTCAACTACAGTTCTTGGTCTAGGAGAATGATTGAGAATATTTGTAGTCCATTCAAGATCAAAATTGAGATTAGGAGTGTACTTATGTGGTGACCAAATCTGAATATCTCGCCACAAACATCTTGATAATGAATCTGATCTTGATTTTATTATTGCGAGGAAAAATATTGATGGCGGGGGATAGTTGCTATAAAGACCAAAATTAACCAAAATTAAAACTTTTGAGAAGTGGGCTTAAAATGATATATCTTGTGAAACGTGATCCCAATTCATTTATCATACCATGTTAAGAATGGAAAACATAGGTGGGATACAAAGTTCGACATAAGTGGGATCGAAAGTCTGATTTTCATTATGTTCGCAACATTTAAATAGGATACAAGTTACTACCAACTAAATCTTATAAACAAGAGAAAATATTCTACTAACAAACTTCTGGAAATAATATATTTTGGATTGTAAATTTTTTAATGTACATGAACGTAAGAAGACCAACGCATGCATATTACTTAGATTAATATTTGAACAAAATTTAGGGTCGTCACAATCATGTTTTAAAGATGAAAAACTATAGAGACCTCATGCATTATGAGTATACATATACATTGGGCTACTTCCCCTTTTATGATGATTAGTACGGATGAATATATTACGATGATGATCATCATCATGCCTTACATGACACTTACGGGTTTGATAACCTCTGAATGTCACTACAAACAGCTAGCTCGACTATAATGGGTTTAGGGGGTGCGAACCGCCTAAGGATCATGCTCGCACCAGTGGGTAGTGTCTAGGAAAGTACTACACATCCAATTTTATTCAGACTAAAGGCCACCCTTATGACGATTTTTAACGATAGGTCCCTAGATCATGATTGATGTGTTTGCATTCTCTGACTCCAATATTGGAGTTATTTATTGAGTATTTCTTAAAATATTCAAGCCGTGTTACTTCTATTTTAGGTAAAGGAAAGGTGCCCATGTACAACTGATGACACATCGCAAGTAACATAAGATAGTTGCATTTTATTTTCTTAGACTTAGGCTACTATAAGGTGTTTTACCTTTAATGTTTTATTTTAGTTATTATTGTCTTTATCTTGTTTTAAATATGATTTCGAACACGTAATTTCATATCAGTATTTTAAGTTGAAATTTATATTTTACGATAAAATTTAAATGTTTAATTATACATAAGAGCATAAATTATGATGACGGTTGAGAATTTAGATTATTATAAATCTAGACTTAGTTTATAAAAACCACTTTTGTTTGTTTTTCTTATACTTTTATTTTAAAATGTTTTCAAAATTTATATACATTTTTTAAAAATGTTTTCAAAATTCATGTCAAATTAAAAAAAAAAAAAAAAGCGAAGTTTTGTTTTTAAAATTTAGCTTCAAATTCATATATGCTTTTAAGAAATATAAAAAATTTTAATAAAAATTTGTGAAGAAACCATCCTAATTTTTAAATATAGAAAATAAAAAAAATAAAATAATTATTAAATTAGATTTAAATTGATATTATAGATTAATATGTCTATCTATTTTATTAAATTAAAACTTAATAAAGTTAATTTTGATATTAATTATTATTTTATTAGTAAACCTTTAAGTTAGTTCGAATGTCCAAAGTTAAAGTTCGAAATTCAAACCTTATAAATGGATGAAAAAGAAACCATTTTGCTTAAATAAATATTAATATATAAAATATATAAACGCTTAAAAGATTAGAGATCAAATTAAAAAAATATTAAAAAAAAAAAAGAATACATTGAGTAAATTATATAAAAGAAAAATTTTGATTTTTCTTTTTTAATATAAGTAAAAGGAAAATGTTTGGGTAAGAATTAATGATTAAATGGAATCTTAAAAAATATGAAATGATGATTGGAGAACCTAAATTATTTGTATTTAATAAATATGTAATAGGTTTTAATTGGTGTTACACGTGGATGAATTATAAACTTACACGTTTAAGATTAATAAGATAAGTTCCGTGATTGGCCGTCAAAATCAACCAAGTTTGATTGATCATTCATGTAATTCCCATGGTTTTAAGAGTACTTTCTGCCACGTGGACTCTTTTTTCTTTTTATATATAAATATATATATACACCTTAAGTTATGTGGGTTGTAATTATTTAATGAGTATTGGTAAGTAAGAATTTTGTAGTGTTCAAATAATATTATTTGTTATATAGTTTGTATTATTAAAAAGAAGACAAAAAGGGTAAATAAAGAGAGATATTATTTTATATAAAAGAAAAAAAGGGAAATATATTTGGAAGTTTATGCGGTTGGGAAGGGTTTTGGTACGATAGAACCGGGCCTACATTAGCATACTTGTGGAAGTTATAAAGAACGTAGGATGCTGGTGGGGCCCTTACATGATCATAAAAATTTAAAATGTTTTAAATTAGTGTTGAGTCGTGTAATGTCTCCGGGTACAGAGGAGACGTGCTATACAAAAACTCTGTCTCTCTCTCTCTCCTCCACTCTGTTTCCCCGCCACACGACTCTCTCCCACTTTCTCTCTCTAACACTTCTTCTCATTTTCTCTATTTTTTTTTTTTTTTTTTTTTTTTTTTTTTTTTTTTTTTTTTTTTTTTTTTT